ATGGTAGAATGTATGACTTATCTTGGATGTCTTCTTTTGCCACCTTGATGTCAGGGTCGGGATCGACAACATCGTCTTTACCTCCGTCTTTATTGATTTGTTTCTCCTTGGATTTAATATCTTCAAGTTTTCTCCCGCTTCTTAGCTCAACAACATTACAATGCTCCCGAGGGTTAGGCTCAGGTCTTCCAGGAAGTGTTCCCATGGGCCTTGATGAAGATGACGCCATTTGGGCAACTTGATTGTCTAGGAGCTTCAGATGTGTGTTGATTCCCTCGACTTGTTTGCGGATATCGTCTTGATCATTCTTCATCCCTCGAATCTCGTTGTTTGTTTGTCTAATATCAGCAGACAGTTGTTTCTGCATGCTTAGGAGCAATTCCTTAAGCTCATCTTTGGGTTGCGGCTGCGGTGCAAGTACGGGTTGCGCTACTTGTGGTTGATAGCGTTGCTCGTATGGTTGAAAATGTTGGGGTCTTTGGAGTATTCTTGGGGCTTGGGGTTGATTGGCCAGATTTTCTGTGTTTCCGGTGTTTTTGTAAGAAAAGTTTGGGTGATTACGCCAACCTGGATTGTATGTATTTGAGTAGGGGTTGTTCGCCACATAGTTGACATTCTCGACCTCTTGTTCTTGGGTCTGCATGGTATAATTGTAGCTTGAGTCTTGTGGAATTGATGTCACCGCATTTGAATTCTCCAATAGAACTGTGAGTTTGGCGACTTGTGCTCGTAGGGATTGGACTTCACTTGACTCACCCTTAGACTTTATGTTTCCCCTTCGGTCGTACTCATCCATGTCATCGCCCCGATCTCTCGCCATTTCTTCTCGTATGGTTGAAAATGTTGGGGTCTTTGGAGTATTCTTGGGGCTTGGGGTTGATTGGCCAGATTTTCTGTGTTTCCGGTGTTTTTGTAAGAAAAGTTTGGGTGATTACGCCAACCTGGATTGTATGTATTTGAGTAGGGGTTGTTCGCCACATAGTTGACATTCTCGACCTCTTGTTCTTGGGTCTGCATGGTGTAATTGTAGCTTGAGTCTTGTGGAATTGATGTCACCGCATTTGAATTCTCCAATAGAACTGTGAGTTTGGCGACTTGTGCTCGTAGGGATTGGACTTCACTTGACTCACCCTTAGACTTTATGTTTCCCCTTCGGTCGTACTCATCCATGTCATCGCCCCGATCTCTCGCCATTTCTTCAATTAATTCCTCGAGATGCTCAAAAGTGAGGTTGCGGATAGAACCTCCAGCAGCGGCATTTATCCAACGTCTTATGTCTTTCCTTAACCCTTCAACGAAGGTTGAGATTAGGTGCCTTCGATCCATGCCATGATGTGGGCACGCTCGTTGGTAACCTTTGAACTTTTGCCAAGCGTCGTAAAGACTTTCGCCGTTCTCTTGAACAAAATTATTTATTTTCACCTTGAAATTTGCCGTCTTGTGAGGCGGAAAGTACTCCTCCAAGAACTTGTGCTCCATTTGTTCCCATGTATGGATGGAATCAGGTTTTAAGTTGAATAACCATTGTTCCGCTTTATCGCCCAGGGAGTATGGGAACGCCCATAAAAAGATTGCCTCTTCAGATACGCCTTCGACAATCATTGATTTGCACATTTTCTTGAATGTTGCGAGGTGAACATTGGGATCTTCATGAGGCCATCCTCCGAAAGTTTTGCTTGCGAGCATTTGAATAAATGCTGGTTTGAGCTCAAAGTTTGTTCGATTGATCGGTGGCCTTCGGATGCATGACAGGAATTCTGTGGGTTTGGGTGAGTTGTAGTCACCGTACGTCTCGGCTCGTGGCTCCCGTCGTAAGGCTGGTTCTGGTGCTTGAGGGGGTGGTGGAAGTCGTGGTGGTTGATTATTGACGCCCACCATTTTTGTTTGTCTTCTTCGAGTGATATACGTTCTTTCAATTTCGGGGTCGTATGGTTGCAAGTTGTCACTTCCACTACTTCGGGTCATGCACCGAACATCCTGTAATATTCAAAA